AATAGTCCATGTCGACTGTAACTGATCTGTACACACTGACTGCTGTACACTAGTCCATGTCGACTATAACCGATCTGTACACACTGACTGTTGTACACTAGTCCATGTCGACTATAACTGATCTGTACACACTGACTGTTGTACACTAGTCCATGTCGACTGTAACTGATCTGTACACACTGACTGCTGTACACTAGTCCATGTCGACTATAACTGATCTGTACACACTGACTGCTGTACACTAGTTAGTGGCGACTATAACTGATCTGTACACACTGACTGCTGTACACTAGTCAGTGGCGACTATAACTGATCTGTACACACTGACTGCTGTACACTAGTTAGTGGCGACTATAACTGATCTGTACACACTGACTGCTGTACACTAGTCAGTGGCGACTATAACTGATCTGTACACACTGACTGCTGTACACTAGTTAGTGGCGACTATAACTGATCTGTACACACTGACTGCTGTACACTAGTCAGTGGCGACTATAACTGATCTGTACACACTGACTGCTGTACACTAGTCAGTGGCGACTATAACTGATCTGTACACACTGACTGCTGTACACTAGTCAGTGGCGACTATAACTGATCTGTACACACTGACTGCTGTACACTAGTCAGTGGCGACTATAACTGATCTGTACACACTGACTGCTGTACACTAGTCAGTGGCGACTATAACTGATCTGTACACACTGACTGCTGTACACTAGTCAGTGGCGACTATAACTGATCTGTACACACTGACTGCTGTACACTAGTTAGTGGCGACTATAACTGATCTGTACACACTGACTGCTGTACACTAGTCAGTGGCGACTATAACTGATCTGTACACACTGACTGCTGTACACTAGTCAGTGGCGACTATAACTGATCTGTACACACTGACTGCTGTACACTAGTCAGTGGCGACTATAACTGATCTGTACACACTGACTGCTGTACACTAGTCAGTGGCGACTATAACTGATCTGTACACACTGACTGCTGTACACTAGTCAGTGGCGACTATAACTGATCTGTACACACTGACTGCTGTACACTAGTCAGTGGCGACTATAACTGATCTGTACACACTGACTGCTGTACAATAGTCATTATCGACTATAACTTTTCTGTACACACTGACCGCTGTACAATAGTCTATGGCACCTATGTCACTGTTATTTTTTCGTCTTTCAGTAAAGTATAAACTTGTTATCAAAAATGTCTATCGTAGACATATTACCGGTGTGATTGTAAGTGTGCCCAAAGACAAACTTTATGATAGCGAGTTTTGTCCCATATGGCGCTGTCTCTCTCAAAAGAGCGGTTGGTAATTTTCAACTCGAAGCACAGACTCGGTAGTTCCAATGACAATGCCAGGGATCTTCTAACAACCTGGACTTGCCAGTCGAAGCACTGAATCCGAAAACGAACCCATAACACCAGCGCGCGAGTGAACGGTTTAACCACTTGACCATGTAGACTCCTTGGTTGTATTCTCTGAAATAAAGACAGGAGTGAATGATAGTGTTGTCCACACACGCGCGCGCGCACGCACACACATACACGCTGTCACACACACACACACACACACACACACACACACATTTTGAGAGAACAAGAGAGACGAGAAGGAGGAGGAGAGAAATTTCTGTTTGCGGTTATTGCCTGTCAAATCTATAAAGCTTTAAACATCTTCAGTCACTCTTCCCTGTCAAATGTCGATTATTTTGCTACCCTCTGTCTGTCAACCGTTTGCTCCACTTTTCAGAAAATTACTGTGAAAAAACATCGTTGTTCACAGTTTGTTCTGTACTTGTTTCTACTGTGCTTCTTTCTCTTGTGTTTCTGGTCCGTTTTGGAATTTTGTTATTATTTTGCATCGATACATGTGAATTTTGCTTTTATAACTATATGCCCTTCAGTGTTATACATCTTCTAATAGTCCAAGCCATGCGGTAAGTGTTCGTATCTGACCATAGCCTTCTTTCTGTATCTTCTGATGTTCTTCCAAGGAGATACGCCCAACTGTCCAACATGTTCTCTCTTGGTCTCTTATACTGTCACTCCCTTCTGACTTCGATGTTCTTCAAAGGAGATACGCCCAACTGTTCAGGGTTTACTCTCTTGATCTCTTGTACTGTCAGTTCCTTCTGACTTCGATGTTTTTCAAAGGAGATACGCCCAACTGTTCAGGGTTTACTCTCTTGATCTCTTGTACTGTCAGTTCCTTCTGACTTCAATGTTCTTCAAAGGAGATACGCCCAACTGTTCAGGGCATACTCGCTTAGTCTCTTTTACTGTCAGTTCCTTCTGACTTCAATGTTCTTCAAAGGAGATATGCCCAACTGTTCAGGGCATACTCGCTTAGTCTCTTTTACTGTCAGTTTCTTCTGACTTCGATGTTCTTCCAGGTCGTAATGCCTAACTGTTTAGTGTGTTCTCTCTTGGTCTCCCCAAGCCCCGCTTCTGCCCCAAATTTGTCGCGGTACGTCATGGAAGTAGTTATCTTCGCGCGTAATTTTTTTTTTTTTTTTTTCTGATACAACTTCAGGGTGCTTCTTATGTGTCGATTGAGTTGTCATAATTATTCTTATAACTAAATCTCTGCAGCTTCCACAAAATTGTTTTGCCTATCTTCTCAGTTTTAGTGATTGACTTCAATAATCAGCTTTGCACAGCTCTTGAGAACCCTCTGCTCCTTACTCAAATAGCAAAACTAAATAGTGTGGAATATGCTCATCAAGCGAAATGTTATTTGTTTTTCCCTTCTGCTGTCCTATGTTCGCCACAATGTTACACACATAAACACTTTTCTAATAGCGGTGCCTGTCAGCGGAAGAATTAAAATTTAAAAAAAAAAAAAACAGTGTCTCTAATTAGTGCGCACAAAAAAATATGACAACAAGCTGCAGGTAAATAAGCAGCACATGACATCTCAAGCTGTCAGAAACGACTGCGATTTGCCCTAATATTATTTCTAAGTCCAGTTTAACAGATGGAAGTTGCCAGTTGTCTCCCCGCTGCCTCATCTATAACAGCGACGGCATGCATTGTAGTGCGTTCATAATATGTAACTAATTCTTTCTTGCTTGCTAACGTCAGGCCTGCCTCGTGAAAGAACTAACACTTCCTCTGAATTTGTAATGTTTTATTTGTTTCTTAACTTCTGTTGTCCTAGTATTTTAATGCAATGCCTCTTATCCTCAGTTAAAACGGTAACTAGCTCCATTACCTATTCAGTGTTGCTACCCGCACTGGAAGGCAGGCTACAGTAGCCGTCATTGAGGGATTCAACTATATCTTCTTAAGTGGGGCGGTGGAAAGGGCGGGCGGGCGGGCGGGCGGGCGGGGGGGGGGGATTAACTGGTAGCATTCACAGCCCTTGGGCAACAGACGAAGACAAATAGAAATACAGAAAGAGATGTAAGAAACACTAAAGAAACAATAAAACAATAAATATTGTATTATTATTACTTTTATTATTATTATTATTAATATTATTATTATTATTAATTTCGGGTAGCACACTGCTTGGCTTAGTAACATGACCTTGACGCGATATTATGAAACAGTTAAGGAGTCGCCAACGAAGAAGTAAGAACAGTGATAGGCTCAGTGCCAGAGAGTGATTTTAAAGAACATAAAGGAATCAAATGGTTTTGTAATCTGGTCATAAAAGAACAAAATCAGCCAGTAGGTAGAACATACTAAATGAGTACCGACCAAGAAAGAGATGGGTGAAAGGAGTAACAATGACACAACAGAAACGCAGTCTGACATTGACACAACCTAGGCATCTAACAAAAGACAAGAGACACCATCTAGCTCGTCTGTGCGGAAACATCTTCTAGCTAGTCTATGCGGAGACATCATCTAGCTTGTCTGTGCGGAGACACCATCTAGCTTGTCTATGCGGAGACATCATCTAGCTCGTCTGAGCGGAGCTTTACGACATGATCAGTAGGACAGAAGTCATTTTCTGTCACGAGAGTCGTATAAGTGATGTGTCTTGTTCATTTTCTGCCACGAGAGTCGTATCAGTGATGTGTCTTGTTTATTTTCTGTCACAAGAGTCGTATCAGTGATGTGTCTTGTTCATTTTCTGTCACAAGAGTCGTATAAGTGATGTGTCTTGTTCATTTTCTGCCACGAGAGTCGTATTAGTGATGTGTCTTGTTCATTTTCTGCCACCAGAGTCGTGTAAGTGATGTGTCTTGTTCATTTTCTGTCACAAGAGTCGTATCAGTGATGTGTCTTGTTCATTTTCTGCCACGAGAGTCGTACCAGTGATGTGTCTTGTTCATTTTCTGCCACGAGAGTCGTATAAGTGATGTGTCTTGTTCATTTTCTGTCACAAGAGTCAAATAAGTAATGTGTCTTGTTCATTTTCTGTCACAAGAGTCGTATAAGTGATGTGTCTTGTTCATTTTCTGTCACCAGAGTCGTATCAATAATGTGTTTTGTTCATTTTCTGCCACGAGAGTCATATCAATAATGTGTAGCATTCATTTTATGTCCAAAAGTCAAAACAAGGAGTCTCATTCGTTTTTTGTCACAAGAGTCGTATCATTAATGTGTTTTATTCACTTTTTTTATTCTTAGTATCTTTATCTTACATTTTAAATATTGCTATATATTTTTTTTCTGCTAGCACATCTTCCTGTTGCATATGAATTCAGAGTCTACTAAGTGTAGGACAGTAATGGCCCAGGGTGGAGACACAAAGGTAGTCTGGTCGAGGCCTAGTGTGGAGACACTAGGGTATTCTCTGGTCGTGGTCCGGTGTGGAGACACTAAGGTAGTCTGGTGACTGTAACTACAATCCGCCATGTTGTTGCTATCTGGTCGCAGCTGTTCTTGTGTCTTCAAACTTTGATGTAGCCAGATAATATGCGGCTCCTGTACACCGGACATGTGTGTGTGTGTGTGTGTGTGTGTATTTTCGCGTCATTGACGTTAGTAGGACATAACACATTTCTTTCTCTTGCTTTCTGCAGGATACACACGCGCATGGAAGTGTTGGTGCCACTACATTCACAGGTGAGTTAAACGCTAGCAAGTTGTGTGCTTAAACCTAGATGTCCAGTTTTGTGATTTAACATTTTGGATATCGGAGATGTATCCACAAGTTTTGTGTTCTCTGTTATATAACATTTCAGTCGTTAATCCAAGTGGGAACAAACGTGATTATCCCCCCCCCCCCCCCCACCTTACCCTTTAGTTCCTATCTTCGTTGCTATTTAGGATTCTTATTAATATATTCTTTGATGAAGACATTGGTCGAACAGTTTGGTTGTGCCAGTGAGTGCCTTTTGTTTGAGATTCGTCTTAAGCTTTTAAGTCATATTCGGTTCATTGATTTTCAAAGTCTTGTCTGTGATAAGTTTAATGTGATAGTTTTTTCCGTGACAATAAGTGCAACATCCTCATAAACGGCCAATGATGACGCAAGCGGTCGAGCGCCAATATCTGGACAGATGGATACCAAGTGGTGAGAGATGACTTAAAGAGGTATCATGCCGAGTAGATCAAAGCAGAGCAACTTTACATAAGTCGAAGAATATTTTTAGAAAAACGTTAACGTTGACACAGAGCTCTTTAGAGCTACTCGGAACCAGCACTGACATATGCACGTATACACGGATAATGTAGGCATTTAGCAAGTTAAGTGGAATATTCTGTAATAATGGTTGACAAGTAAAGTAAAAGTAAAGTAAAGATCCCTTTCACACCTTTAGGCGTATCGGGCATTTGGGAAGAGCGCTCATAATTTTACAGACCATCAGCACTCGGTGGGTAATGTGGTCAGCATTACGCCGGCTGTCTTTACTTTCCCAGGACAGCCCATCCTGGTACCCATTTGAGGCTGGGTCGACCTGCGACGTCCCATACCACGACAAGACCTATAATATATATATGAGAGAGAGAGACGGGGGGAGAGAGAGAGGGAGAGGGAGAGAGAGGGTGTGTGTGTAAGTAAAGAACTATTTTCGGTATGTGTAACGAACTCAGACCCAGCACACTGTGCCGAGTAAAGAAGTCGGGCTCACTGCACTTGCAATGGACGTTCATTCATGCGTCTTAACTTTTCAAACAAGTCAGTCTATGTCGCAGGGGTGCCAGTTTGGTGCGACGTTGTACTGCGTCGACGGTCTTACAGGCGACGACGGGTGCTCTATATTACATGATGTGAGCGCTTTTAACGACCCCTTAACATGTACAACTGGCCCTAACCCAAACCCCAGCTACCTATCTTACACACTGAGCCTAGGTTCTACGAGGGGGTGCATTCTACGCCCCGTAGTTTCAGACTTCTTAACATTTTTCGGTGGCCCCCAAAACGCTGCGTTCCTCCAGATAGAGAAGACGCGAGACATGAACTCGTGGACAGACACGACACTTGTATCAGAATGATAAACAATACAGACAACAGTAGGCTGACCAAACGTTCAGTTGTCACAGGGACAGCCCCGTATTTTTGGTGTGTTTCGGTGGTCGCTTATTTGTTTCGCTTCATAAAATCTAGAAATAAGTTCAAGAAAAGAACATACACTTATAGAACCAATTATAACAAGGTATGCAATCTAACTAAAGAGAAAGTCCAACTGGAGAATGGATGCATATTTTAACGGAAAAAGAAAATATATAGATATATACACGACTTTAGTGGAACGTAGAACATGAAAGCATGCAATGCAACCAGAGAATGGAGTTTTAATGAAAATTAATTAGTATGGTAAATACAATCTTTAAGCCTTTATATTCTCATGTCCTTAGAATGTATTAGTTTCTAAATGATTAATAATAATAATAATAATAATAATAATAATAATAATAATAATAAGAAGAAGAAGAAGAAGAAGAAGAAGAAGAAGAAGAAGAAGAAGAAGAAGAAGAAGAAGAAGAAGAAGAAGGAGAAGACGAAGAAGAAGAAGAAGAAGAAATAATAAACTCACTATATGACAAGGGCAGAAAGAATCAAAAACTCATAACATTTGTTCGATTAGGTGATTTAAATGTATATAGTAACTGGCCCTCACATTTAGCTTGAACATACAAGTGCCTACATATAAGTGCACAGACAACCGCATGAAGTGTACATACAGAGACAACGGACTATACAAGTCAATGAAGTAGCCGTTGTGACGCAAGAAGTGTCAAAGAATAGTGTCAGGTAATACATTAAAAATTTGCCACTTTAAACGACACGCGAAAATAAACAAGGGCTTTACGCGGATAGAATCGGGAACAACAGTAGCATTGTGAAGTGTGTTCCTGGCACCCCTGTGACGTCACATCTGTATACATCACTACAAATAGACGTCACTGATGCGTGTAATCAACCCTGCACACGATACCGAAGAAAGTACATATTGATACATACACTCAAACACCCACGCATGCACACACATACACAGACCAACACCACCACGGATGAAAGACACACACACACACATCGATAAAAAAGAGAGAGAGAAAGGGGGGGGGGAAATAGGCTGAGAAAAGAAGAATGGGCAGATCTTCATGGCTGATAAAATTGCCAACTATCTGGCGCTAACCTAATTACATGACCTGCCAATAAAGCCTGACTAAACGTGGTCATGTCCTCTTGTAGGGCAACACAGAGGGTTTAAACAACTTTGCACGGGAACAATCAGTAGAGGTGCGTTGGCCTCACTGCTGCATCGAAGTACTGAGCACGCTAGAGAACTCCTAGTATGGAGTGACGTCGGTCCCGGTCGCATAACTGACGGAAGACACACACGCAAGTACCCGCACAAATATACATGAATATATCAGTTTACATTCTGACACACATGCACACCCAGACTCCTATAAACATACTCAAAACACACAAACGCACGCACGCATACAAACACACACACACACACACACATATACACACACACATTAAATAAATAAATATGTGTCCATGTGTGAGTGTCAGGGCCCGATTATGAAGAAAACAAGAATAGACCCACTGCCTGTGGTAGTCGTCGACTAACTGGGCGCATCCTCCGAAGTCGAAGTGCATTTGCCTCAAGGGCAAAAAACCAACCATCTGCACACACAAATAAGCTAGATCTTTAACACTTGTGTGCTCGCAACGCACTGGTTCTGGGTCAAGACTAAAGGTCCGGGGATGGACAAACAACCACAACATTCCGTCGGAGTTTACACTCGGTGGACGCGAAGAGGAAGAAGAAGAAGAAGAAGAAGAAGAAGAAGAAGAAGAAGAAGAAGAAGAAGAAGAAGAAGAAGAAGAAGAAGAAGAAGAAGAAGAAGAAGAAGAAGAAGAAGAAGAAGAAGAAGAAGAAGAAGAAGAAGAAGAAGAAGGAGGAGAAAGAAGAAAAAGAAGAAGAAGAAGACGAAGAAGAAAAAAGAAGAAGAAGAAAAAAGAAGAAGAAGAAGAAGAAGAAGAAGAAGAAGAAGAAGAAGAAGAAGAAGAAGAAGAAGAAGAAGAAGAAGAAGAAGAAGAAGAAGAAGAAGAAGAAGAAGAAGATATAAATAAGTGGGCACAAACAGAAATGTAATGACTTAGGTTATCCTCCCGGCACTCCGGACACGACCTCGTGCCGCTGAGATTCCCCCACTTTTCCAAATATATATTTGAGTCCCGCTGCGGATAGTGTCAGTTCTATTCTGGTGTGCCTCTCGTGCTTGGATGTGCAGAGCTTCTAATTCAAGTATTTATTTTTTAGAAATGAGGGGACATATTGCCTCAGAATCAACCCTTTATCATCTCTTGGTCTCTTTATGTCTCTGTATGTATCTCTGTGTGTGGGTGTCTGTATGTCTGTCTGCGTGAGTGTATGTGTCAGCATGTGTCTGTCTGTGCATGTCTATGTGTGTTTCTCTGTGAGTATTGTGTGTGCCCCTTTGTTGTCTGTATGTGTCTGCATGTCAGAGTATATGTCTGTGCGTGCTGAATATATGTGTCTGTCAGTGTATTTCTATGTGTTTGTATGTGTATGCATTTCTGCGTGTTTGTCTGTGTGGGTGTCAGTATGTATTTGTCTGTCTGTTTGTCTGTATTTGTCTGTGTGTGTATTTGACTGCGTGTGTGTCTATGTGTCTGTATGTATGTTTCTGCATGTTTGTATGTATGTATGTGTGTGTGTGTGTGTGTGTGTGTGGGTCAGTGTGTGAGCACGAATGTAAATATGTGTGCTGTGTGTTTCCCCGTGTGTGTTTATATGTAAGTGTCTGTGTGTGTGTCTGTATTTTTGTCTAAGTGAGTGTGTGTGTCTCTGTGGGAGTGTCCGTGTGTGCATGTGTGTGTCTCCATGCATGACTGTATTTATGACTGTATGTTTGTATGTATGTATGCCTGTATTACGTATGTATGTATGAATGTATGTATTTATGTATGCCTGTATGTTTGTATCTATGTATGTATGTTTGTGTGTATGTATGGATGCCTGTGTGTATGCCTGTATGCAGGTTTGTATGTATGTATGTATGTTTGTATGTATGTATGCCTGTATGTATGTAATGTATGCATGCATGTATGTATGTGTAAGTGAGTGGGTGAGCATGTGTATGTGGGTGTATGTATGCACGCGCGGGTTTTTGCATGCACTTTACAACTCATGCTTTTGTGTTCTTTTATAATATTCATAATATGCATATCATCATATGATCATAACATGCTTTATTAGTAAAATACAACTGCTGTGCGAAAGATGGTTGACTGGAAGGGCCGAATGTTAGACGGGCCTGGGTGCCCAATTTGTGACCATTTGAAAATAGAGTTAGTTCGTTTGTTCGTTCTGTATGTCTCTCTCTCTCTGTCTCTCTGTCTCGCTTTCTGTCTATCTATGTCTCTGTCTTTCTCTCTATATGTCTCTCTGTCTCTCTCTCTCTCTCTGTCTCTTTCTCTATCCCTCTCTGTGTCTATCTCTCTGTCTCTGTATCTCGCTATCTCTCTCCGTCTTTCTCTCTCTCTCTGTCTCTCTCTGACTTTCTCTCTCTGTCTCTCTCTGAATTTCTCTCTCTGTCTCTCTCTATGTCTATCTATGTCTCTCTGACTCTTTCTC